AAAAAAAAAAAAAAAAAAAAAAAGTATGTGTAACTTCTCTTCATGTCTCTTCTTGAGACCTGGGGTAATGTGTATTTTCTAGTGCTGTTGTATAGATGAAATAATGTACATGAGGTTTTCTGAACTCCTTAAGAAACGATGTCAAAGCAGTGAAATGCAGTGCTGTTATTACAGTAAAAATGGTAAGGTAGAGGAGAGGAGGAGAAAGAGATAGGTATACATTTTCTTCCTTTATCTTCTAATCTTTCCAGATGCTGGTGGGTCCTTTGAGTCCTCCCTCTGTCTGTTCCTTAGATTGCAGTGTGGAGGGTGGGGTGGGGTGGGGTGTTCCATGCTGGGGTACAGGAAGAATGTCCTCTACCCCCTGAAACTATTCATCAGGAAGGCCATTGTAGGCATCATCCAGTGTGTTGTGCTAGGAGACTGCAGGATCTGCAAATAGAAGACAGCCTCTCTCTCTCCTCTGCAGGCCCGGGACAGGAAGCCATGGACTGTGTGTGTGCCTCTAGAGCTTGCCTGCTTCTCTTTCATGGAACCCACCGCCTGGTGCCCGGGCTTCTCTGACCACTATTGTTGAGAAAGGAAAGTGACTCCAAAGCGCCTGGTGCTTTCCACCGAGTTTGTGAAGTCCAGCTGACTGGAAGTCCTTTTGGAGCAGCCTAGCAGTGTGAGCACAGTCGTGACTGCCCCATCAGCCATGTCCTTCAGTGCCACCATTCTCTTCTCCCCTCCCGGTGGCAGTGAGGCCAGATGCTGCTGCTGTGCCTGTAAGAGTGAGACTGGTGGGGGCAGCACAGGCTCTCAGGGTGGGAATCCTCCTCCCAGCACCCCCATCACAGTGACAGGACATGGCCTGGCCGTTCAGAGCTCAGAGCAGCTCCTGCATATTATCTACCAGCGGGTGGATAAGGCAGTGGGTCTGGCTGAAGCTGCTCTCGGTCTGGCCAGGGCCAACAATGAGTTGTTAAAACGTCTCCAGGAGGAAGTGGGTGAGCTAAGGCAAGGGAAAGTGTCCACCCACGATGAAGATGGGGAAAGCCGGGCACATAGTTCCCCACCTGAGGAACCTGGGCATCTCAAGGAGAGTCCTGGAGAAGCCTGCAAGGCTCTGTCTACCGTGGAGGAAGAGTGTGACAGCGTGGGCAGCGGCGTACAGGTGGTGATTGAGGAGCTGCGGCAGCTGGGAGCAGCCTCTGCCGTGGGGCCTGGGCCTTTGGGCTTCCCAGCCACTCAGAGAGATGTGCGGCTCCCGGGATGTGCGCTGGCAGCCAGTGAGGGGGCCTCCCTGCTCAATCCCGTGAGTACGGCAGAGGGTTGTTGCTCCTTAGTGCTTTTCCTGGCCTCTTCTTCTTTTTTTTCCTTTCTCTTTTCTATTTTTTGCCCCCATCTTTAAACCTTTCTTTGTAGTAAAACAAAACAGTACCAAGTTTCCTTTGCTCAGATAGTCAGCACCCCTGTTTTCTTCCTGAACCATGAGGCTCTTTGGCAGAAGGTCATTTTTTGGTGTGTGTGGGGAGCAGGGGCCCCTCCTTCCCTGTCTGTGGCTCTGCATGGCACCTTCTCCTCCACAGCTGTCTTGGCTGCTCCGTGGGCTCTGCCTCTCCTGGAGCGAAAGCCTGCCGTGCACAGACGGCTCATTCATATTTTATCATGGGCCCTCTGCTTGCCAAGAGGAGTTCAGTTCAAAGCGAGATTGGGAATGAGAGGGAAGAGAGGCAGAGGCGGAGAGATAGGAGGAAAAGTGCAAGGGCAAAGGTAAAGATCATAGAAGACAGGTTTAGGGAGGAAAGGAACCCAGTACAAATGGAGAGTTAAGGAAGGAGAAGGGGGGGGGGGGGAGCATAGAAGAAAGGTGAGTCTACGTGAAAAGAAGAGAATTTATAGGAGAGAGACTATGAGGTAAGGTGGGATGGAGGTAGAGGAAATGAAATAAAATGCAAAAAAGAACTGGACAATTGAGAGTTAATAGTAAAAGAATAACATAGAAAAGGAAGAAAAGAAAGACGCAAGTGAGCGTATTTTGTGAGCAGAAAAGACATAGAAGTATGCTGTACTATTTCATTTTCTATACTGCTCAAGGGCCATATGAGCAGGAAAATTCTGGCTGAGTAGCATAAGAACTGCAGAATATCACACATGGAAGTATGAAAGGGAGATAGAGCAACTATGGAGACCACGAGGTGGGAAACTAACAGATGTGGCACCACTTGAGAGCTGGCGGGAGGTCTGTCATTCTCCCCCACCTTACTCTCCCTCTGCCCTCTCTCTTGCCTCCCCCCACAACAAGGCATAGACACCCCATAAAGAGTAAAGCAGCAGAACACACAGGGTAGATGGGAGGGATGAAACTCCCAGCCCATCTGCTGGATCTGAGAAATGAATACATAAACTCCCCTCTCTCCCACCATTGTAACACTGCAACTGGTCACTGTTCTCCAGAAGGCATCCCATGTGGGAAATGGCCAGTACTGCTCAGCCCAGTCTGGGCCTGGTTAGAACTCTGAGTAGTTTGGGCCTGAGGGAGGAGGAACTTGGAGGTGGGAGGCAGGAGGGTACCCCACCAGGCATTGCCCTGAGCTGTGGGTTCTTTGAGGTAGGGAAGGCTTCCAAGCCGACAGGATGGAATTAGATTTCACAGCGCAGAAAGCAGCTCACAGGTCTATAAATCTCAGCCTCCTCCCCCGCTTCTTTCTGTGTGTGTGTGTGTGTGTGAGGTTTTTTCCCACTTTCACTGTTTTGTTTTCTTGGCTGTAGAGATCCCCGCTCCTTCCCTCCTCCCTTGCTCCTGCCTTCCTTTCCCTGCCCCGTATGTCCTTGAGTGAGGTCACAGGCAGTCAGGGGCAGGATGAAGGTGAGGATACAGACAGGCCTTGGGCTGGCAGGTAGGTGAAGGGAACTGTTGGTATCAGCCCCTCTGGGGATTTCTGACTTTATATCCCCTCCTTTGCTCTTATTTTTCTTTTCTTTTGCCTCTTTATTATTTTATTTTCTTGTTCTTTCTCTTGCTTGGTTTCCCTTTCTTGTCATCACTTCCTTCCACAATCCCTTTTAGACAAAACTTACCTAGAGACATTTCTAATACCCAAGAGCAAACCATAAATGAATACTCACAAATAGAGCATCAGAAACATTTGAACAGTCCTGGTAATGACCCAACATGAGAGACCCTGTACAGGTAAGAAATATTTGCCCAACACTCCCATAGGAGTCCCAGAGAAACAAGCCATTAAATACTGTGTTAGATTCCCCCCTTCTTTCCACTTTTCTGTACACTAGTCTTGGCCAGAGAATGATGGTTGACCATGTTCCCCTAAGCTTTGCTGGCTAATAGGCTATTCTTTTTTATACTCTTAGCTGGTGGATGACTTTGTGGCCTCTGAGGGTACAGTACAGCGAGTGCTAGTCCCTGCTTATGCCAAGCAGCTCTCACCAGCCACACAACTGGCTATCCAGCGGGCAACCTCAGAGACAGGGCCAGAAAATGGAACCAAGCTGCCACCACCCCGCCCTGAGGACATGCTCAATGTTGCTGCTGCGTTGGATGGTGCCTTGGAAGAATCAGGTCCTGGGAGCACCGGGGAGTTAAGACACTCTCTAGCATTTACTGCTTCCCCATGCAGGACCAAAGGGAGCGGGCAGAAGAATTCCAGGCGCAAGCGGGATCTGGTACTCTCTGTGAGTGAGCTCAATTCCTATAAATTCTTCTTCAGTCTAGAGAGATAGGTGAAGAATGAACGGCGGGTTGATTTAAGCCTTCCATATTGAATGAATGGTATACTGAATCCTACTGGAGTGGGAGGAACAAGAAGAGACATCTGGGATAGGCAGTTCCCCTGCTACAAGTGGAGCTTTTGGGTTTTTCCCAATAAAATTATATCTTCCTTTTAGGCTGGGTGTGGTGGCTCATGGGATTGCCTGAGCAAGAGCAAGACCCTGTCTCTACTAAAAATAGAAAAATAGAAAAAACTGAGGCAAGAGGTTCATCTGAGCCCAAGAGTTGGAGGCTGCTGTGAGCTATGATGACACCAGAGCACTCCACCCAGGGCGACAGCTTGAGACTGTTTAAAAAAAAAGTTCTTTCTTTTTCTTTTCTTTATTTTTATGACAGTCTCACTATGCCGCCCCTCAGTAGAGTGCCATGGCGTCACAGTTCACAGTAACATCAAACTCTTAGGCTTAAGCAATTCTCTTGCCTCAGCTGAGGCTACAGCCCGCCACAATGCCTGGTTATTTTTTGTTGCAGTTGTCATTATTGTTTAGCTGGCCTGGGCCAGATTTGAAAACACACGCCTTGGTGTTGATTTGGCTGGTGCTATAACCACTGTGCTACAGGCTACAAGCCTCTATCTTCCTTTTAAATAAAAGGGAAGTATATCACATCTCCCAGTGTTCTGATAGTCTTGTTGGAAAGACCTTCATGGGATTGAGAAGACTGATCACAAAAAGGTAGCACTGGGAACTGCCTGCAAATTTAGCCAGTGTTAAGGGTTAAGTGGCAAGTGGCCCCTTGGGTGGAAAAGCCAAGCTGTCCTGAGGTGCTTCCCAAACCTTGAAGATGCAAGAGGGCCACTGGACAGCTCAGTTATAAAGGTTTAGAGTTCTCAACCTGGAGTGATTTTGCCCCCAGGGAACATTTGGACCCAGTTGGAGACATATCTGGTTACTACTTATGGGGAAGGTGGGAGTAAGGGAATGAGAATGCTACTGGCATCTAATTGGTAGAGGCCAGGTCTTCTGCTAAACACCCTACAGTACACACACCAATCTCTGTAACAAAGAGGTATCTACCTCAACATGTTACTTTTGAGAAACCTTTTGGATCAACTCTGTGCCCCAAAGCTTCTTTCAGATAAGCATAATAATAATATTCATATTGTCTATAATGAGTTGATATTCTCTGGGCGGCTCCTGTTGCTCAGTGGGTAGGGCACTGGCCATATACTCCAAAGCTGGCAGGTTGGAACTTGGCCCTGGCCAGCTAAACGACAACTGCAACAAAAAAATAGCCAGGCGTTGTGGTGGGTGCCTGTAGTCCTGGCTACTTAGGAGGCTGAGGGAAGAGAATTGCTTGAGCCCAAGAGTTTGAGGTTGCTGAGCTGTGACAGCATGGTACTCTACCAAGGGGCGACATAGTAAGACTCTGTCTCAAAAAATAAAGAAAAAGAAAGAAAGAAAATAAATAAATAATAAAAATAAAGAAAGAAAAGAAAATATAAATGAAAACAACAAAAATAAATTAAATAGAAGGAAAGGTAAAATGCACTGGAGTTCAAAAACCCAGTTGCAGAATGGTGGAGACAGGTGTCCATGTGAAACATAGACTTGAGTTGACTGTCAGCTCATCAGGAATGAACCCTGTGGCACTGTGAGTGGAGGCGATATTGCTAAGAAAGGTAGCACCATCTTAGGTTTCACTCCTCAAAGTATAGAGTGCCACTTCAAGAAGTAATGCTCCCTTTAGCCAGACCTCAACTGATGAATTGGATTCAGCTTCGGTGCCACTTAGTAAGAGGGAGACTGGAAAACGAGAGAGCTTCATAGTTTGATGAGGAGTCTGTCTGGAAACTATGTCATTAGGAATGCCTGAAGGACTTGGGGGTATTTAGGCCAGATAAGAGAAGACTTGAGAAGTACATGAAAGCTATATTCAAGCATTTGAGGCCTTTGTTGTGACAATGGGGGCCGTTCCCTATTTATGGCAGATGCATCTTGCTCTGTAAACCTATCTTTCTCAATAAACTTTGCTTCATGCTTGCCTTATTTTGGAGGTGTCGGGTCATTTTCTGACCAGGTGTACTCCGAGAACCAAGGTCCAAGGCAGCTATTTATAACCCCAAAATTTTAGGAGAGGTAGCTGCCTTGAAACAGCTGATCCCCCTCAAAGTTGTATAGAGTTAATGAACCTTTTTTCTTACTAGTAAGAATACACAAATATTTCAGGTGCTATTATGGGCAAAACTGGGTTTAGATTTTTGAAGTATCTAAGGCAAAACTTTTTAACAATTATGATAGAAATGTTCAACAACAGAATAAGCTGACTCAAAAAGGAGAAAGACACTATTAGCCAAAAGACAGCCTATTTCATGATGTGCAAGGGAGATTGGGTAATACAGCCTCCCAAGGTCGTTTCTAATTCCCATTTCTGTTATTTTAGATTTCTGCTTTTCAGACCGTGGTATGTATAGACCTGAGATTGGTGGTAATGTGCAAAGGGATATATAAAGCCATGAACAAACCTGGAGCATTTTGCTGGGTCATCTATTTTTTTTGTTTTTATTTATTTATTTATTTATTTTTTGAGACAGAGTCTCAAGCTATTGCCCTGGGTAGAGTGCTGTGGTATCATAGCTCACAGCAAACTCCAACTCTTGGGCTTAAGCAATTCTCTTGCCTCAGCCCCCTGAGTAGCCAGAACTACAGGAGCTCACCACAATGCCCGGCTGTTTTTTGGTTGTAGTTGTCATAGTTTGGCAGGACCGAGCTGGATTTGAACACATCAGCTCTGGTGTATGTGGCTGGCGCCTTAGCCGCTTGAGCTGCAGGTGCCAAGCCTTAATTAATTAATTATTATTATTATTTTAGAGACAGTCTCACTTTGTCACCCTCAGTAGAGTGCTGTGATGTCACAGCTCACAGCAACTTCTAGCTCCTGGGCTTACGTGATTCTCTTGCTTTAGCCTCCCAAGTAGCTGGTATTAGAGGCGCTCACCACAACACCCGGCTTTTTTTGTTGTTGTTGCAGTTTGGCCGGGGCTGGGTTCAACCCGCCAGCCTTAGTATATGGGGCCAGCGCCCTACTCATTGAGCCACAGGTGCCCCCCTATTTTATCTATTTATTTTTATTTTAGAGCTGTCACCCTGGGTAAAGTGCCATGGTGTCATAACTCACAGCAACCTCCAACTTAGGCTCAAATGATCCTCTTGCCTCAGTTTTTCTACTTTTAGGAGAGACGGGGGTCTCACTCTTACTCAGGCTGGTTTCAAACTTGTGAGCTCAAGCAGTCCACCCACTTTGGCCTCCCAGAGTGCTAGGATTACAGGTGTAAGCCACCATGCCTGGCCTATTTTTATTTATTTATTTATTTATTGAGACAGAGTCTCATTTGCCCTTGGCAGAGTGCTGTGCCTTCATAGTTCATAGCAACCTCCAACTCTTAGGCTCAAGCGATCCTCCTGATTCAGTTTCCCAAGTGGCTGGACTATGGGTCCCCACCATAATGCCTGGCTATTTTTTAGAGATTGGCTTTCACTCTTGCTCGAGGTAATCTCAAGTTCCTGAGCTTAGGCAATCTACCTGCCTCAGCCTCCCAGAGTGCTAGGATTACAGATGTGAGCCACTGTGCCCAGCTTGAGTCATCAGTTTTACTAGAAGATTTCAGATATTAAAATTTATATGAAAATAATAGATTTTTTTGACACAAAATTTGAAATTTGCCATTGTTAGAGTACTTCAGGAAATGTCCATTTGTGGTAGTTTTGATGTATATCCAGTCCCTTCTTGCCATTAGGGGTATGTTCACAGAAATGTTTGAGCCCCCGTGCTTCAGTGATAACATTACTCATGTACTCAGAAGTAAGACCAGAGATGATCCTGGAACTTTCACACAAATTGTAAGAAGATTCCCCATTAGAACATTAGAAATGCTAACTTGGATAGGCTCTGTGGCTTAGAAAGGCCATCTACAAAAATGGTACTTAGACTATGGGACGTATTCAGGGAGAGAACCCCAGAAGGACAGTGCCTTTTTACTCTAGGGACCAGAGGAGAGTTTTCATAGTATCCACTCCTGGCTTGATTCTGTTGTTTTTTTTCCCCCCTAGAAATTGGTCCACAATGTGCATAACCACATCACCAATGACAAGAGATTCAATGGGTCTGAAAGGTATGGTCCCCTTGAGGAAGAAGAATCACAGGGTCCTTTGTGAAGGAGAGGGACGTAGAGGGGGATGCTCCAATACACAATGATATACTTACTAAGGCTTTGGCTTCACCATCATCCCTTTTACTCTATCTTAGGCCATGGAGGGATATGCTACAAAGTTGGTTAGGGCTCAGTATTTCTGTTGTCTGGTTCTTTAAAAGCTGACTGTCTTATTCACACTCTTCTTTTTCGTGGCAGCATCAAGTCCTCTTGGAATATTTCAGTAGTAAAGTTCCTTCTGGAAAAGCTCAAGCAGGAGCTGGTCACCAGTCCCCATAATTACACTGATAAGGAACTTAAAGGTGAGAAAAATGGATTTAACTCTCAGCTGGTCCTTTCTCCTCCTCCCCCACTCCCACATTCTTGGTCAGAGGGGAAGAGCATAATAGAGATGATTTGGGTGGTTGTGAAAACAGTGAATTTACAAACTTTTGGGGGGCTATTCCTCTCATCTATAATACATTCATAGGATTACTTCAAATTGCTTTTTTATTCCCCTGCTCAGTCTGAAATGAAAATCAGAAGGAAGGCTAGAATACCATCATGCATTCTGTTTATGTGAGGCCTGAATCTCAGATGTTATGAACAAGTCAAAAGCCAGGCCTGCCCTTTTATGCTTAAACATTACATCTTTGGCTTTCTATTTTCTTTCCTCTCTTCTGTTAAAATAACTGAAGAGATCTCTGGAAAGGTTTCCATCAGAAAAAAAAATAATAACTGAAGAGAGTTAACCTGAAGGGTTGTTTTTTTGTTTTTTTTTGGGGGGGGGAGTTTTTGGCTGGGGCCGGGTTTGAACCCGCCACCTCTGGTATATGGGGCCGGTGCCCTACTACTTTGAGCCACAAGTGCCACCCTAACCTGAAGTATTAAGAAAGGTTCTACTAAAAAATACTTGTAATCTGCTATTAGAGTAGCAAGGTGTAGGTTCACTTGGTAGGGGATGGGGGAGAGGAATACAGAAGCAATAGGACTTGCCTTTTTCCAGTGGGAGATATTCTAGAGGAGTCAATGCTAGAGATGGGGTGGACAAGGAGAGCTAAACCAAAGAGGAGTGAACAGATGCTGACACATACGCCAAGAAAGCTTGTCGTGGGCAGCACCTGTGGCTCAGAGGAGTAGGGCACCAGCCCCATATACCAGAGGTGGCAGGTTCAAACCCAGCCCCAGTCGAAAACTGCCAAAAAAAAAAAAAAGAAAGCTTGTCGTCTAAATAGTGGTTCCCAACATCCCATTTAGTAGTGTTAAGGCAGAAAAACAGGCTGAAGACCACTGTTCTAGAGGACCTTGCTTCTTGCTTTTTCTTCTCCTCCCCCCAGGAGCCTGTGTGGCATACTTCCTTACTAAGAGGCGTGAGTACCGCAATTCCCTGAACCCCTTTAAAGGTCTGAAGGAAAAAGAGGAGAAGAAACTTCGAAGTCGCCGATACCGGGTAGGTTTCTAGGCCTTCTTTCAAGATGCCAAATTCTAGGCTCCACAGCTGTAGTTCAGTGGCTAGGGCGCCAGCCACATGCACAGGGGCTGGCAGGTTCAAACCCGGTCTAGGCCTGCCAAACAACAATGACAATAACAACAAAAAAATAGCTGGACATTATGGTGGGCGCCTGTAGTCCCAGCTACTTGGGAGGCTGAGGCAAGAGAATCGCTTATGCCCAAGAGTTTGAGGTTGCTATGAGTTGTGACACCACGACAGTCTACCCAGGGCGACATAGTGAGGCTCTGCCTCAAAAAAAAAAAAAAAAAAAGATGCTGAACTCTAGCCCCTAATGAGTCACAGTGGGAAGGGCCAGACAACATGGCATCTGCAAATAGGGTTGAGAGTGATGCAGATAAGCAGATAGGGGAAAAAGATGAGCCAGTTCTAAGATATAACTTGGGGACTAGGTTCTCTTAGGCACTAATCTTATGGCACAGCCTTCTTCTCTCAAACCCTTTCTCCAAATCTAATCCATAGTCTGTTTCTCTTCCTAATCTCTGTCCTGGCTTCCTCCCTTAGCTTTTTGCCAACCGATCCAGCATCATGAGGCATTTTGGACCCGAGGACCAACACCTGTGGAAGGATGTGACAGAAGAGCTGATGTCAGATGAAGAGGACAGCCTTAATGAGCCAGGTGTTTGGGTGGCCCGCCCTCCCCGATTTCGGGCCCAGCGCCTCACAGAGCTCTGCTATCACCTGGATGCTAACTCTAAGCATGGCACCAAAGCCAACCGTGTATATGGGCCTCCCTCAGACAGACTACCTTCTGCTGAAGTCCAGCTCCTTCCACCAGAACTTTACAATCCTAATTTCCAAGAAGAGGAAGATGAGGGAGGTGAGGAGAATGCACCTGTGTCCCCATCTTTTGACCAACCCCACAAAACCTGTTGTCCTGACTTGAACTCCTTCATTGAAATCAAGGTGGAAAAGGATGAATGAAATCTGTAGCTGCAAATAACTTTGGCTTCTGCCACTCCACATGTCCAAAAAATGGGCAGCCATGGGGCTTCCCAGAATGAGATATCCTCTGTCTTCTTAACACAGTCTCTGTTGGAAGTGGAAGCGAGAAGGAAGCTTCTATGGGATAAAATAATTTATTTAGAAGGGGAGAAACTCCCCCCACTGTGAATGGAAAGCCAGAAAATGGTTATTACTCAGCATAAAACAGTGCCTCGGAAGAGCCTGAGATGAGAAAAGGAGGATGAGTCTAAGAAACATGAGGCCTTCTTAACATACGCTCTGTCTAAAAGCTGTGGGGAAGCAGCCCAGGTTGTGCCTTTTGCTTCTCCAGGACCACTGGTTTTGCTCTGCAGTGGAAGCAGAACCAGACCAGTCCAGGGAAATACTGCCACCTGGTGGGCAGTTTCAATCACGGGATTGATTGCTCTGAGCAAGAGAACATGGGTTCACTGTTGGGGAACTGTGATCTAAACATAATAGCTATTCTTTATTAAATTATATAAGGAAGATTTTACTATTTCTTTCTCACAGGTGAGAAAATTAAGGCTTAAGGAATTTTCATATCTCACTGGCAACTTCTCTTACATTGTGTGACCAAGCTGAATGTATAGT